AATGTGCAAACATTTTTCACCTATTTATACTAAACATTTTAGCATAAAATAATCAATATTTGATATATATTTTATTTTAAATAAAATCAGATTTTATTTAAATAATCATACCAAATATTGACTTTTAATTAATAATGTGGAGTGATTTGTAACCACCATTATTGTTTTAATATAAATAAGATTAATTATGTGGATTGGTTAACAACTCCAAACCACCATAATTAATTTATTCTTATTAATATTTAATCTTCAATCATATTAAAGATAAATAATAAAATAATAATTCTTGAAAACATTTTTCAAGACTTTATTATTTTAATCTATTCTTCCATTTCCTTATTTATTTATCTTATTATTATTTTGGATTTGAAATTTAAAATTCAATTTTAAATTCAAACTATTAATTAGTAATTCTATTAATTACTAAATTAATATCTAAAATTCAATTAATCAATCTATATGATTAATTTAATATATTTCTTTAATTGATATCTAATCAAATTAGATTTGTCAATTAATTCTAACTCTTTAGAAATACTATTTGAATTTTACCTTCATTCAAAAAATGGTGTGACCTTTTAGGTTCACAATTAATACTAGTAGTGGGTTTACAACTCTTTGTATTTTTTTTTTCCAAATGATAGGTTTTATAGCTCCAAACATTTGTACATGAGGTGGGGCTAAATAGCCCAATGACCAGCCAAGCCTGGCAGAACAAATCTGTTAAAAATAACAACCAATAGAAGGGATCAAAATCCATGGCATATTCCAACATAGAACCCATGGACTTGATCCTATCTAACCAAAAGCAAAAACAGCTTGACCACTGGCACACACCCTAGCCAAGCTGGACTACCACTAACCAGCACTACTGCCACAAAAACTACTACAGCAAAAGGCAACTAGCTACTCAAAACAGGCCTAGACCAAAGCAACCCAACAATAAAGCAAAATACATAAAACTATTAACAACTAAAGCAGAACAACCCAACCAGCTATATCAGACTCTAAGACTCTGCACATTGATGAATTCCAGCCACTCTTCCACAGCTACATTCACCACAGCCAACTCTGCTCTCCATAAGCCTTGGAAAACCCACAAGTTCCTTGCTTTCCAAATCCACCAAAGTAAGTAAGCTGTGAGTTGAATTCTAGCCTCATTGTTTGCTGTCATAGGGATAGAGCATAAGTTGGTCCACCAATGAGAAAAACTTTCAGCATGGAGATCTAAGCCATCCCATTGAATGGGTGCCAGCTTCAAGATCAATATGGTCTTAGGACAAGTGAAGAACATGTGGTAGACTGTTTCAGGCTCCTCTCCACATAGTTGGCATCTGGCATCAATATGAATTCCCCTCTTTGCAATGCAAGTGTTGACTGGCAAAATGTTATTCACACACTTCCAAAGGAAGTGCTTAATCTTCCCTTTAATATTCAGTTTCCACATCCTCTTCCTCATCTTCATGACTTCAGCTTGCCCTTTACTTGGTTCTGCTATATCAAGTTGTTTCCATTTCTCCTTCACCAGATAATCATATGAGGCAGCCACTGAGTGCTTTCCATTTTTCCCACAGTGCCAAACCAATCTGTCCTCCTCCCCTGGCTGCAGACTTGTGATTTTGAGAATTGCAGCTTGATCCTCCTCATTAAAGAGCTCTTGGATAATGTTCATCTTCCAGTTCCTCCCAGTAACATCAATTAAGTCCTTCACCTTGAGAATGTTGGAATTTGGCTGAGGCCTTTTTTTGAGTTTGAACCCAGGAAGTTCAGGGACCCAAGGGTGCTCATAGATGTTGATTTTACTGCCATTCCTCACCTCATATCTCAGCCTCATAGTGAAGGAGTCCCTGACTTTGAGCCAGCTATGCCAGAGCCATGATCCATTTTGCTTTTGCTTTACAGAGAAGAAGTTGTCCTTGGGAAAATATTTAGCCTTCATGCACCTGCTGACTAGTAAGTTGGGCTGTGTGAGAATTCTCCAAAGTTGTTTTGTAATCAGAGCTTTATTCATCAGTTGGATATCCTGGAATCCCACACCTCCCATTTCTTTAGGCAGTGTCATCAAGTTCCATGCCTTCCAGTGCAATTTTTTCCCTTCTACATTTCCTGTATTCCACCAAAAGGAGGCAAAGAGTTTTGCAAGGTGTGCACACAAAGCTTTAGGCATTAGAAAACAGGACATTGAATACACATGTAGAGCACTCAGCACAGCTCTAATCATTATTTCTTTCCCAGCAATAGAGAGAAATCTATTTTTCCAGCTTAAAATTTTCTTCCCTGTAGCCACAGTGATGTAAGAAAAGGTATCCACTTTATTCCTCCCAATGCCAAGAGGCATACCCAAGTATCTGGAGGTGGTTTGTGGTTTAATTCCCAGAAGGATATTACAGATGGAAGATTTAACAGTGGGAGAAGTATTTCTGCTGAAGAATATAGAGGATTTGGAGAGATTAACTTTTTGTCCTGTGAGAGATTGGTAGGAATCAAGGACAGACAAGATGATGTGGGCTTGGGAAGAATCAGCTTTGGCAAAAAGCAATGTATCATCTGCAAAAAATAGATGAGAAAGATGGGGGCCGTTTTTAGAAAGTTGTATTCCAGAGAGGTTTCCTTTTTGAGTTTCCACTTTGATCAGGTAAGAGAAAATTTCAGACACAAGGATAAAAACATAAGGGGATAGAGGGTCCCCTTGTCTTATGCCTCTAGTAGGAGTAACATAGCCCTTCATCTCTCCATGAATATTGAAAGAGAAAGATGCAGATGAAATACAAGAGATGATCCAATTCACAAAGATAGGGTTAAATCCAAGCTTAAGCATTATCAGACTCACACTTTTCCACTCTATTCTATCAAATGCCTTTTCCATATCTAATTTTAGAGCCATGAAAGCAATGAGGACTGTTCTGTGCCTTTTCAAAAAATGGATAACTTCATGACCAAGAATCACATTGTCAATGATTTGTCTATTAGGCACAAAAGCAGCCTGGTTGTTAGAAATGCAAATAGGCAAGCAAGGTTTGAGTCTTTGAGCAAGAAGCTTAGAAATAACTTTGTAAGTGACATTACAGAGGCGTATTGGCCTATAATGGGAGACAAATTCAGGATTTTGAACCTTAGGGATCAGAGTAATCAAGGAGTGATTAATGCTTTTGAGTATTTTGCCAGAACAGAAAAAGCTTTTAACAACATCACAAAGCTCAACTCCAATCAGATACCAGAAATTTTGGAAAAACAAAGATGTCATACCATCAATGCCAGGAGCTTTTCTAGGGTTGATGCTGAATAGGGCTGCCTTGATTTCATCATCTTCAATTTGTGCAGTAAGTTCAGAGTTCATCTCCTCAGGTATAACTGGATTTAAGTTATTCATATTAACTCTTATTCTTGAATTAACTCTTTAATTCAAGAACCCACATATCATGGGAACATCTAGCAAGTAGCATGAATCTAGTATTAAGTGAATAGCGAGTAAACCTATTTCGATTACAAGTCCATACATGTAAAATCCTTTCGACATCCAATTTCCCGATTAAATCTTTGGGTATGATTTTGTCGAAACCCAAATTGATTTAATAACTATGATTCCATTTCAAGTGTAGTAATTCGTTTATGAATCTCTATTCATCCCGCCTTGGCCAAGGACTTTGAATTACTAACTCTGAAACACATAGGAAATTCACTTATCTTCATAAGTGTCGAATCCTTTGTTGGCCACTGACAAACTTCCATACATATTAATATAATACCCAAAATATCCCTTTATACGATTGTGCTAGCAATCAAAAGGATAAATCAAAGTACAATATAATATGCACAAAGTTACCATCGTGCCTCAAGTCTAAGGATTAATCATGTACTATTGTAACATGAAAATTCTTATTCGACATGATAAACTTTCATTAAGAATTTTCATACGGTCATGTTCAGTGAACTTGTTCTCTAACAAGCACCCACATATATGTATTTGCGTCACACGCTAATGTTGATGGAATGCAACATTCTTATCTAATAAGCATACATACTATGTGCAAGTCTTTTTTGGATTTATTCGATATCCCATCTCGAAACATCCAACGACTTGGAACTGTATTTAAGATCACAGCTTTCAAGATATGTTCTATGATCACCATCTCTATACGCAACCATATCTTATAGCTATAAGTGATCTAGGGATTTTATCTTAAGTGCAAATATATGATAAATGCGTACTCTTAAAATAAAATAATGCCTTATTATTTAATATAATTCCAATAGATTGTATTCACAAGTAGAATACGTCCAATCTGATTGGAACGCCGGGTATACTACTCCAACAATATATATATATATATATATATAACCAAACCGGGAACAATTTTCGAATACAAATAAAACTGAAAAGTGGGAGGACTCGCATGCAAGCGGCCTAGATGCCCAAGACTGGACAACAACCAACTAGAAGAGGAACAAATAAAAGAACATCAGCACTAAGACACTGCAACATTCCTAACTTAGAAACTTATGTTCAAAAACCAGAAAAACAAAGAACCAAAAGGATTAAAACAATGAAGAAAATTTCTGCCATTCTTTTTTTTATTTTTTGGTTCAATTCCTGCCATTCTTTGATGGCACAATTCAGTAAGTGACCAATAGGGAGATTAGTTCCTTCAAAAAGCCATAGGTTCATAGAACGCCACAGCCACCATAACATGTAGGTTGTAAGTTGGATTATGTCTACTGCCACTTCACATTTTCTGCTTGAGCAACTATGTTTCCACCAGGAGCATAAATTCAGACCAGGTTCCTGCAAGCTATCCCAGTAGATCGGGCCTGTTTCCCGTAGTCTTTGAGGTTTAGGCAGTAGAAAAAAACATGTTCCACGTTGGCAAATGACATCAATGTCCAGACCTTTGGCTTTCAGGGCTGTTTTAACAGGAAGAGATCTGGAGCAACATTTCCATAGGAGATGTTTTATTTTGGTGTTAACTTTTAGTTTCCAGGTCAGAGTTCTGGCAGCTTTGATGTCCTTAGAGTTGCAACTACTTTCTGAGATGTCAAGATGCTGGATTTTCCTGTGCATAAGGTCTGAGTACATAGAAGAGACAATGAAGATACCTTTGCTTTGCAAACTCCAATTCAAAAATTATAAATTTCATCTTAGAAATATCTATGTATATTAAAAACTATTCAATTTTTGAAAATATATATTTTTTCTTATATACTATTTTATATATGAAAACATGTTAATAAAATAGCAATGCATAATAATTTAGATTATAGCACTTGGTAATTGTGGAAATATATAATATATCTAAATATTCAAATAGATATTATGTAGCTCATTATATAGGTTGAAAAAATGAAATAAATATAAATAAAAAAATGTAAACATAAAAATAAACTATTTAACCATAAAAATTTATGTGTTCCCTAAGGATTAAAGTTACTAAAAAATAAAGTTTATTTACCAATGTTTTTAACATTTAATGCACTTAATAATTATAGCAAAAGATAAAACATTGGTCAATTATCCAGCAATGTGCAAATTATGAATTGTTGAATTGAATTTAAGACTATGTTAAACCATAGTTAAGTACATACAAGTAATTTGTATGCAAATATCATATGGTCTTATACATTTATAATATTTTAGTAACTTATAAATAATAAAATTTATATATTAAAATTAGTCAAACTGGAAATAAGAATATAAAAATAGAAATTAACAATAATAGTAAATAAATAAAAGTCATACTGAATAGAATATTGTGGAGTATATAATTTTATATTGTCTTATATAATTTTATAATATTTAAATAAAAAATATTCTTTGTATTATACTCCGTGCGTGACACGGGTATCAACACTTGTTAAGTAAGATAAAGAAATAAAAAGGAAGATGAGATAATTAGTATTGGGAAAAATATCTTTGCACCCCAAATACAAAGACACATTAAGTTTTTCAATCCGAAAAGTGCGAAGGTTATGCGAAATCTGTCGCATATTCATCGCATAACTGTCGCATATGCGAAGGTTATGCGAAAAACTGTCGCATAACTGTCGCACATAACTATCGCATATTCATTGCACAATACCTTCGCTCTTTAACTTTTTTTTTACCCCAGAAAGTGCGAAGGATATGTGAATGCCTTCGTACTTTTAACTTTCGCACAATGTAATCGCGCAATTGTTATTCATCGCACAATGTCTTTCGTACTTTCTGAGGTGAAAAACTTAGTTTTTTTATTGAACGATGTGAAAAACTCAACATGACTTCAAAACGGGTGGAAATAGTTATTTTCACTAATTAACCAATACGAAAAAGGAAGGGAGAATCGGTCAAGGAAGATAATCCCAACACTAACGTCGGCAGCAAACACACTTCCATCGGCCACCCTCACAATCTCCCTCTTTCTCTCAGTTTTCACTCGGTTTTCTCTTCGGCAAACCAAAATCTTCCCGGCAACCGAGCAATCCTTGAGGCCGAGCCATTCATCAACCCACGAGCAGCCCTAAGCCCAGATCTTCTTCAGCCCGGCAGCACTCCTATCAGGCCGAAATCTTCTTCCTTCCGGTGGCCGAGAGCAAGCAAGGTAAGGCTTTCTTCCTACACTCGACCTTTATGTAGCTCCTATCAGCACTCCTATTATGTAGCTCATGTTAGATAATCTTTACATGTAGATTACAAAGAGTTGAGTCCTTGAAGCGATCGTCCGTTCATTTAATTGCATTTGTCAAGTTGAGGTGGGGATTTTCTCTGCACTCAACCTTTTTAAGTTCATGTTATCTTTATTGTTGTGTATACATGTCGCTGGGCCCTTGGGCCAAGAATTTATAGTAACAATTGAAGGCAAGGATTGAACATGATGAGTGAGTTCGAATGACAAGTGTTTTCGAACTTTGATGAGCAAACCACTGGATGTCTAACTAATTAATGGCCAATATTAAACCGGCACTGTATAATTGTACCATCAAATAACATCACCCATCCGATTCAAAAACGAACAGAATACTGAAAAACTCCAAGTCTCCGATGGCGGATGCTAAGATCTTTGAGCTTAACAATGGCAACATGCAAGTACTAGTCTCCAATTACGGATGCACCATCACTTCCCTGCGTGTTCCTGACAAAAATGGTAAATTTCAGCGCCTAGTTTGTTACCCCTTTTCATTTACATGCTCAATTGATGAGGAAATGTTTGACTGTGGACGTTTGATATGCGATTTAGGGCAATTGGCTGATGTTGTTCTTGGATTTGACACAATTGAGCCATATCAGGTCTGTGTAATCATGATAGTAATTTTATCAAGACCCGTTTAATTGTTAATGTGTTAATTTATCACAGGGAATGGAGATGCCCATTGTTGTTCTCTGTATGGGATTTGATTTGTTTATAATCTCCCTGTTTCAGCTCTTTTAAGATCCTATTGTTGTGCAGAAAGGTGCCGCCCCTTACTTTGGGTGCATTGTGGGTCGGGTGGCTAACAGGATAAAAGATGGCAAGTTTGCACTTGATGGAGTTGAGTATTCATTGCCCATTAACAAGCCACCAAACAGCCTCCATGGTATCAAAGTGATTTTATTTAATTTATTTTTTAATTTTTTTTGGTGGGGAAAAGTTAGTTAGATGTGCTTTCACCCTACCTCGTACAGTTGTTGACCAGAATTAGGTTTTGCATCAACATGCATTCATTGTAGTTCTTAAGAGAGTGAATTTTGGGACAATTATTTAAATTCAGTGACTACTGAAGTATGCATTGGTTAGGAAGAAAAGTATTTTTTTTTTTTATTTATTTATTTTTTTAATTTCTGTATGGTCATGATTGGTGTTGCTTACATGAAATTTTAAAAGAATGGGGATCTGTGAATTTTGTACGAGGAAACAAATATTGAGGAATTACAGTGGTTCCACTTAAAATACTTTAAGGATACATAATGATTCCTTTAAATGAATGAGTGACCTTTTGGAGTTGCTCTTCTTTTGTGAGAACTAACATTATCATCAACATCAACATACTCAGTATATTCCCAAACATGTTGGGGTCTGGGGAGTCAGTTGTACGCAGACCTTACCCTTGTAAATTACAAGGAGGCTGTTTCCATAGCGACCCAAGGTGCGTTGTGTCGTTTGATATATTTTTTCTAGAAACTTCACTAATAGAAGAAGCACTAGAATTTAACTGAGCCATTTTGATCTAGTCCATTATTTGCACGATGCCAGAAGAATTGTCAACGCTGACTCTTCCAGCTCCATTTGCAATGGACTCATGAGAACTAACATTATGATCTTTTAAATTCTTAGTAGAGTTGAACACTAGGGAAATAAACAAATGGAGCAGTTTTGACAACGAAGCGTAGCTTGAGTGGTAAGATGCTTCCGATAGGTCATGGTTTCGAGTCACCGGGGAAGTGAAAACACTATTGATCCTTCTTTTTAAAAATAGGAAAAAAAATAAAAAATAAAAAAGAACAAAGGGAGCACTTCTGGTAGACCTTACTCTCTCATACTTTTCCTGCCAGATGCCGGGATACCTCGATAGGATAGACCTCAACCGAGAACTGAGGAGTAACGGAAGCAAGTGATTAAGTTTAATAATTCCTCATATAAAATTATTGACTCTAGAAATACAGTAATATGGTGAAGACAAAATTGTTTGAAGCACCAAGAGAACTGGAAATGCCCCTCCGAATAAAAAGATTCTTCTGTATGGAATTTCGAGAATCTTTAAATATAGAAGGAAAGTATTCTCCTTCTTGAATCTTTGTCATAGTGGTTACTAGATTTTCCTATCTTTATACTGTCATTGTTGAAGAAAATATTCTAAATGTTAGTCCTTTTTTGAGTGGCTTGAACGAGTAAGGATTTACGGAGTAAATATATACTTAGCCTATTAGTCCTTACATCACAATCCGCTCAGTGGCTTTGTTTGGTATAGACCGTAGAAGGGTGTCATACTGTTTCTACAAGGTCCCTGACTTGATTTTCACTCATATGGGAACTTTGCTAAACGTATGTTCAAAATTTAGCAATGAACGAGAATATGGTCTTTGACTGCCAAAGATGATGTGGTATTATTTTTCTAGCCTAACCAGCATAGTGAGATAAAATCTTTGTTACTACTTCCCATGATAAGTACTATAAAGTGCATTATATGTTCTGTACTTAGTTTGTAGCTATGAGCCCTTTCATTGAGTTTCCTTCGCTGTAATCATATTCTGTTTTCATGCAATTATTCTACAATATTCAGAAGGAAACATTTGTTCTGGAGACAAATTAATTTGAAAAGAAAATGTTTGTGTCATTTTTGTAATTTGAAGAAGTGTGTGGAAGATATACTGATCATCCAGTGAAGGGGAATAAATTGGAAGGCTGCATTCTGAAGATATTATTTTTACAATTCTTATTAAATTACCGACTCAGGATTTAGTAGATATGTGTGGATGCCTTCTCAAATCTTGAAAATTACATGACAATATAGGTAGTGTGAAAGTGAAGATGTATCATAATTCGTAATTGTAGAAAATTGACCAAATGAGTTTGACATGTTGAAGTAACAAGAAAATACGGGTACAAGCTTTCGTACCCATGGAAAAGATTGTTTTCAAAATGTGATATATTTTCTTTCAAAAATTTCAGTCCCTCACTTCTGATGACAGCATGTTGCTTCTTCTATATGGGGCTAATAAGGCTGTTGCACTGTCGTGAGGTTCTGAGAGACGAGTATGAGAAAAACACAAACACAATGCGGTCTTTAATTGGCCGAACACAATTTTTGTCCAAATCCTATTAATGTGAAACAGGTTTTTCTTACCTTCTCTTTCTGATATGTGTTGTCTTGAAGGTGGGAACAAGGGATTTGACAAAGTAATCTGGGAAGTTGCTGAATATACGCAAGGCGATACTCCATCAATAACCTTCAAATATCACAGCCGTGATGGAGAAGAAGGTATTTCATTTTTAAAATCACTTTTTTTTTTTCTTTTAACTGCTAAAAGTTAATAAAACTAAAAAAAATAATTATTATCAATGCAGGCTACCCGGGGGACGTATCTTTCACAGCCACATACACACTCACGTCTAAGACTACAATGCGGCTTGACATGGAAGGCCTTCCCAAAAATAAGCCCACCCCAATCAGCTTAGCCCAACACACATATTGGAACTTAGCCGGCCACAACTCCGGAAAAATCCTTGACCACACAATCCAAATATGGGCCCATCATATCACCCCAGTGGACAACAACACTGTCCCAACCGGAGAGATCATGCCTGTTAAAAACACGCCATTTGACTTCACAACTGAGAATAAAATTGGCGATCGCATAAATGAGGTCGGCATAGGGTATGACCACAATTACGTGCTCGACTGTGGTGATGAGAAATCGGGTCTAAGGCATGCTGCCAGGTTGCGTGACCCGGTAAGCTCGAGGACTTTGGACTTGTGGACAGATGCTGCAGGAATGCAGTTTTACACGGCGAACTATGTGAACGGTATTGTGGGTAAAGGTGGTGCGGTTTACGAGAAGCATGCTGCCACGTGTCTGGAGACGCAGGGGTTTCCTAATGCCGTGAACCAGCCGAATTTTCCCTCGGTCGTCATTCGGCCTGGGGAGAAGTATGTGCACACCATGCTGTTTGAATTTTCGGCCTGAGCGCAGAGAGAACTACTATATGTGTTTGCTTTTTATTTGGTGTTTATGTCTTTCGTCGGAGTAACGTGGTGAGAATAAAGAAGAGAACTTACTAGTTATGGCTCTTTGAGGATATTGCATTTTTGGTTGTTTTGATTCATTATTATACTTTTTTCAATAAATATGCATACTTTTCAAAACCAATATAGATAATGATTATGATATTTCATAATAAGTATATATCTATATTCTATCTATTCTATACTATTATAAAAGAGCCAATGAATCTGTAAAAATATGTTTTATCTAAATTAATCTTATTTTGTCAAATAAATTTTGTACTTTAATAATAATAATGCAGTCCTAGCAATAATACAGTCATAAACGGAGGTTCATTTTTTGTAATGTCAAATATGTAATTTTATACTCATTGCATATGAATTTGTTTTTTTATCCCGTTGTCGTAACGGTCCTTCACTTTACCCACACGCCCACCGAAACACGCCCTGCCCCTCAAGTGTTTTTAAGATTATCTGTTACTCTTATTATTAATTAATTCCTATAGGCAATAAAAATTTAATTAGTTCCATATCATATCATATCATATAATTGAACCTTGCTTTAAAAGTACTTATATTTCAGTTTAATAATATACACATCTATATTTATACTACTGTACAAGAATGAGTGTTTTTGTAAAAAAAGAACTACTTAAAAAATATTTACTTTGACATGTTTTTAATGACAAATTAGTAATACACTAATATCCATCTCTTCTTATATTTTTAATTATAACTAACATTTACCTAAAAACCCCTTTATTTGACAATTTTTTATATAAAATTAGCAATACACTAATGCTCATTTAATATTTAACAGACTAGAAAAGTAGAAGAATTCATTTAACTACTTCACTATTCTTGTATTTAGAATTAGATTTAGAAATTGCACCTTTGTTTTATTGGATTGAATTTTGATCTCAGAAAAATCGTCATTTATTTGTTTGTTGGTTTTAATTTCAAATTTTGGTCGCAAAGCCAATAAAGTTAACGAATCTTCAACTGACCATTAGGGGATTAATATCAAGTTGCCTAATATTTTAATTGTTAACATTTAAAATATTTGAAGTTTTTCATTCAATTATTAACAAAAATATATCATGATATTTTAATTATTATTACTTTGTTAGAGAAATTGATTTTCAAGATGGGCGCTCCATAATCGATGATTATTAAAATTTTTATATAATAAATATTTTATTTATTGATATTATTGTAAGATTCTTAAATATATTTATTATTTTCTCACTAAAATTTAAGAGTTGATTTAACCGTAAGTATCCTATCAAATAAGATAATTGTTTCAATAGTATTTACTTAATTTTGTATGCTTGTTAATAATTATAAGTAAGAAATTTAAAATCGATATTGCTTGTCCTCGTAACGACCACAAACTGTACAATTTTTTTTTTTTTCAAAATAACCTATAAAAATGAATAGAATGTGTAATAGTACAGGAATAATTGTTTTGAATAAATTTTTTTGAATAATTGTGTAATAGTATGAGAATAATTATTTTTTTTTTGAATATATGTTTTGAAACCTAAAGTTCTAATGTACTCAATTTCTTTACTTAAAATAATATTAAAATAATTTTTTGAAATTATATATAATACTAAAACCCAATCCTTTTGTTTTCATGTCGAGTGGGATACTACTTGAGTAGCACGATTTACTTTTAACTATACCATTATTCATAAATTAATTAAGATATCTAGAGATTCATGATATGCATATCTACACTGAATATTAATTAATTTTACTAATAATTTATATCATATATTACCATTACTAATCTATTATTAATAACTATAAGTAGAAAAATTGATATCGATAATGTTTGTTCTCATAATGTCCATAAAGTATAGAAACATTTTTTTATTTTTATTTTTTTTCAAAATAACATATAAAAAAGAGAGTAAATTATGTAATAGTATAAAAGATTAATTGCAGAATGTTTGTTTTGTAGACTAAACATTTAATCTATTCAATTTCTTTGTTTAAAATAAGATTAGAACAATTTTATGAAATTGTATAATACTAAAACCCAATTTATTTATTTTCATGGCGAATGAAATATCGTTTGAGCACATCATGATTTAACTTAGATTATATGATTATCTATAAATTAATTAAAAATATCCAGAGAATCATGATGCCTATATATGTTGAAAATTAATTAATTTTTATCAATAAATTATATCGATATATTGCCATTACTCATCTATCTATCAATCTGCATTATTCTAATAAGGCAATGTTTTGTCAAAGAAAAAATACGGAATAAAAACTTTTTATATTTGAGTATAATATTAATGAAAAACTTGTAGTTATATATATAATATAATACAAAGATGTATAATTAATAGATATACAATAAGACATACGACTCAAAGAGTTCTATACTTAACTCTATGCATTTTTCACTAAATCAGTTATTATATATATATATATATATATATATATATATATATATATATAATTACACAAGGGGTAAGAATGATGTTTTACCTAATAAAAATGTAAGATTACACAAAGAAAAATTTTAACTCGCATTCCATCCAAAAGTAAAAAAAAAAAATGATAAAATTAATAAAGGTATTATATCAATTAGAGCTGACGAATGATAAATGTAAAACGTACTTAAGATGAACATTTATAAATATATGTATATATAGTTTTTTGTATTAGAAATCATTAGATGGGGCTTAATTTTTTTAGTTAAAAATTTATTTACTTTTTACCATTAAATTTTTAAATTTTGAAATACTTAGTACTTTTGTAATTTGTTACCCTTATATATGTAATATATCACATCCTTTTTTTTCAGTAATGTTTGATTTGACCAATATGTTTATAAATAAAAATAATATAATTATTTCTATCGATATAAAATAACGCGCACACACACACACACACACACACACACACACATATATATATATATATATATATCAATACCAATTAAAATAGTAAATGGACCTATAAGTATCTTATAAATTAAATTATAGATCTGTGTTAACTCAATTTTATTAATTATCAAATAATATTAGATAAACTTGTGGTATAGTTTTCTTACATAGATTTAAAAAAAAAAAATCTTCATACTAAGAAAAAAAGTGCAAATGGATGTAAACGTATGACTATTACTGATATTAACTATGTGAAATAAAAGAAAAAATAAACAAGTTGTATGTTAAACTATTTTTCAATTACTACTTGAAAGGGAACACCATAGTGGTTGTAAAAAATATTTTTTATGGATATGAAAATGAGTTAGTTACTTAATATTTTATCAAACCATGGAAAAAATCTAAAACTTTTTAATCTTATAAATATAATAAAAAATAAATTGTTATCAAATATATTAGTACTATCAAACACGTAAAAGAAAAATGCAATGCATATAAATGTGTTGTAATTCTTTCAAAAAGTAAAATATTATTTGTCATCAAAATAAAAATAAATAATACAATAGTAATGCAATGGGGAAAAGAAAAAAATTAAATTTTCTTAGAAAAGTATGAATACCAATATCAAGAAACAAAAATCTTTTAAAATTACTATTTTTTTTTATACCATTTAATATTGTTCTCTATAAGAAATTGGTTCTCATTAATTATGATTCCATGTTATATAATACAGACCATAAACTCTAATAAGGAGTTAATAATAATAAAGTTCACAGATATCTAAGAATATCATAATATAATAGAATTCAAATTCTTCTCGTCTAAAATATTTTGACAAATGATATGTTTCTCAATATTGTCAAGTTTTTGTATTATTATTATATTAATAATCATGAAACAAGTTTTATCTTGAATTTTTGAAGCATTATGTATGATGTAAAAAGTTGGACTTCATTAAATAAGTAATTAGACACATAAATATTGTAAATCAGAATGAATGTGAAAGGTATTATGATAAACAACTCTAAAATCAATGCAACAACCAAAATGTTTAATGATTTGCAAATAATAGGTTATGTAGTTCGTCTATCTTCCAAATAAATAATACTGAAAAGGGAATGTTTGATTCTGATCAAAATCTTTTTGAATGTTTGAATAAGATGTCACGTTTTTATAGGAATATTTACAATCTTAATTGTGTATTTTGCTCGATCATATGCACAATTACTTTAGAGTATGTACTTTCATGTAATGTGTGATGATTTTAAAAAATAAAAATAATTTAGTGTCTTCGGAAAAATACATAATTTTGGAATGTTAACTTTATTTGGAGGATGAAATTCGTTTCCACTCCATGGGTATGTACCAATTAATTTGTTAATATGTGCGCGCACACACATACATAGATAGAGAGTGAGAGAGAGAGAGAGAGAGAGAGAGAGAGAGAGAGAGAGAGAGAGAGAGAGAGAGAGAGAGAGATCTAGAGTAATGTAGTAATTTATATAATGATTAAAAAATATCAAAAATTTTAATGACACAATTAGTTATTTCACATAGATATTATAAACCGTTAGTAGAAGTACCTTATAATGATCATACAATCATGAAGTTTGACCATATATTAGGCTAAAATATTTGTAAGTGTTGAATAAAGCAAACGTTTCGCAAAATTAATTAAGAATTTTGCAATACTATTAATGTATTGACTTCAACGAGTACGCATGTTTCTTATGAAAACGTCAAAACCACAGTGAAAGAAAATCACTCCTGAATCTGATATTAATAAACAAAATAACTCGTGCATCTAGGGCTGAGCATGAAATTAGGAGAATTCCGAGTTGTTCCGGAATCGAACCAAAATTACTTCGAATCAAAAAATAACCGTTGACCATTTGATTTTTTCCGAACCGAACCGAACTGAACCGAAAGAATAATTCGTATGGTTCCAGAGATTTTACAAATATCAGTCCCGAGAACTTATCGTACCGGGCCGATGATAAGAACCAAATTATAAAAATAGATTGTGTTATTGATATTTTTATGTCAACTT